ACTCTCTCTCTCTCTCTCTCTCTCTCTCTCTCTCTCTCTCTCTTCTTCTTCTTCGTTCTCTCTACTACTCTACTCTTACTACTTACTTACTACTACTACTCTACTCTCTCTCTCTCTCTCTCTCTCTCTCTCTCTCTCTCTCTCTCTCTCCCCCCCCCCCCCCCCCCCCCACCCTATCTGGTGCGTCTTTTTAAACCTCCAAGTTGAGACTTCCATGGCTTCTTCTTACACTCCCCACTTTCTCTCTAGTCATCTTCTTCCTCATTACATCTTCGTCATCATGAAGAAGAAGTGGCCACCATTATCTCTAGGTTTCAACAATATTTTCAGATAAACATAGTACACCCAAATCTCAATCATTCTCTCTCCCTACAACTTGTATTTTCTCTCTAGCCCAATCCATTTGTCCTCTATGCTTGTAAACCCTCACACTAATGTTGTTCCATCAGAGAATCACAAAATGGTTCACCCTCCTCCTGATCTTGTAACAGTTAATGGGATAGTGGCTTCACCCAAAACCCCAATCATAACAAGGAGGCCACACTCATGGAGCTTCAAGTGCAGTTTCATATAGAGAGAGTCAAGATTGTTCTGCATCTGAAGCTTGCCTGTGTATTTCTCTTCAAAACACGAGTTTGCCAAATCAATGGCTTCCTGCAAAGTTGCAGAGCTGCCTGCAACTACAACTATTCTTTGCAGAGAGAGTTTTTGGAGAAATAGGGTGGGCTAGAGAGAGAAGACAAACATTGAGGTACCAACTCCTATTTCGATGATATCAGTTTCCATTTACCGAACAAATCTTTTACCATGCTTGCCTTCTTTATAGCTATGGGGGCTAGATCCTCGGCATATCTGAGCCAATCCTCACTAGGCTTGCCTTCTTTATGGCCATGGCCAGAGTGAAATTAGAGAGAAAAGACAAGGTGTGGTGTGATGACATGGTCAGAGCAAAATTAGAGATAGAGACAGGGTGTGGTGTGATGACATTGCTTGTACTTTTTTTTTTTTTGGGTATAAAAGACAATCAAACATGTGCAATAAATTACTTTTTTTTTTTGGGTATAAAAGACAATCAAACATGTGCAATAAATTACATAGCACGATAATATATGAATGTTCCCTTCATATGAACTAACATATCAGATACATATGAATTAGCATATCAATGTTCTCTTCATCTTTTTTCTGATATAAAACGAATCAGATATCAATGCTCACTTCATCTGTTTTCTGATTTTTGGTGAATCAGATGTTGAATTTTCAGGTTGTTTTTAAATTTCTGATAATTGAAGCATCTGATTGAGTTGATACTGGACTAAGCAGCTAACAATGACATATGGAAGACCCAGCTGTTGGGTTTTATTGTTACTGCAGTTGGGTATTCACTAATTGTACAATGTTAGACCAATAATGTTTTGTATTATGATTGTCTAATCTAAGTCTTTAGCTAACCAAGTTAACTGTGGTGTACAATGTTGCATTCAGTGGTATGTACTACCTATTCAATCCCAACAATAATGCCACTTATGGTGATGCATTGAGAGGGGTTTCTTCTTTTTGGCATTTGTTTCTTTCTCCATAAGTTATTTTTCTCACTTTTGGCAATTCCCTTGATCATGAAACTATTAATTATGTTGGCAGACAATAGCGGGGAAGTGCTGCAAGAATGATTGTAATGGTCAAGGAATTTGTAATCAGAATTTGGGACATTGTAGGTGCTTTCACGGGTATGCTGGTCAGTATGCTCTCTGTAATTGTAGGTGTTTATACCTTCTGATATCAGAAAGTGCTAACAAAATTTACCCAGATTTCAAGTGTTTGCCATAATGTTGGTTTCTGTGAAGTTCACTTGAGCATATAATGAGACACTTACATCAATGTCAGAACAATGACAGATGTTAGTACTATGTACCAAAAAAGAAGAAGAAAATATGCATATGGAAAACAGTTACAACAATACCCCTGTTGTAGATGTTTACATTACTACTTATCTCTTACACCAGCCTCTATAGGCTGATATGCAGGTTGACACACACAGAGTTTGGAAGATATTAGTCACTCTCGAAGTCAATGTTTAAAATATCCAAAATATGTGAAACTGAGGCACCCCGGTTTGCATAGTCTTGAAATGTGCTTTTCACATATGAAGGGAATTATCCACATCTATTTGTTCTTGCTTGGCTCACCAGATCATCTATCACAGACATTACACGTTTCTATTGCCAGCTTAAGGGACAAAAGTTTCAAACTGAGAAGTCAAGATCTTGTAGAAGATAGCGTGTGATCTCAACAGCAGTTTCAAACATGGTCAGGATCTTCTTCCCCCTAGAACACTCGCTTAAAAGTCAGTGCTTCGTATTGTTCTAAGAAATGAAACTATGCCTGACGTAGCTACTTTGGCTCTTGGTGGAGGGACGATCAGCAGTTGATGTGTGCCATAGTGACTATAACAATCACGTGAGCCAAAGTTAATTTTAATTGAAAAAAAAGACAAACTGAGCCTTGTGCCATTCAAATCTTCCGTCTAGTCATCATCATCATCAAAGCCTTTTCCGAACTAATTTAATTTTATATAACCAATGACAACAAATATTTTCCTTTACCATGTGGATGTGAAACAGAAAAAAAGAAGTGGTAAGTCGAAACACAACATAATACTAATGGATATGCATAGGCATCCTTGAAGGGTGGAGATCATGTGTTTTGGTGGACATAGATAGAAACAACCAGTACTGAACTGTGAAGCTTTCATAAGGGACGAACATGTTATGGGATATTGGGTGCACATGGGACAATGTAACTTGCAGTTGTTTCCTCTGTCCTCGAACTTGAGGCAATTTATAATGCTCTTAATTAAATTATGTCTTCCTATAAAAAACTTCATATTTTGAACCTCCATCCCACCCCCCTCCCCCTCCCCCTCCCCCTCCCCCATTCCTTCTAACCAATTAATTCTAGAATTCCATAACCAGCTAAAAATTTTTATGCCTGTAAGGCTCACATTTGTACTTCTTTCTTGAGACCTGCCTTATTGACCTTCTCTTCTAGGAGGTTCGCAGTGCTTTGCCATTTGCTCTAGATGCCAAAGGTCTTGTAGCTCCTGAATTATGTCCTCCCCATGAGCCTAAGGCTTGCCTCATTCTATACTTCGCCTAACCCTCAACTAAAATGTCATTTGTCATTCCTTGAAGACATCTCAAAGTCATGGGGACTTCACTCCAATTTGGATGTCCATTGGCTCATGATTCCCCACAAATTCCTGATGAAAAATCCATACCTACCATCCTTCTAGCCAAATGATCTGGCTATTTCTATGCACTATAAATTGGAATAGCCATATAACCTCTTCCACTTTTTGCAAAAGAATCCTAATAATGCAAACTTTTGAGGATCTGGCTACTTTTTTCTTTCATATTTTCCTCATAACCTGAGGATTTGAATGAAGAGCTAAGATGGAATGACTGTAGATGGGAATTGTTGTTCAGGAAAAGATGGACCATAGAATATCAGGCTTGAGTAGTTTAAAATAAATTTTGCAACAAAAATAAATGATTATCATTTTCCCCCCTAAATATACTTTCCATGGCCACTTTGATGAACCACTTAAATCATTCACCCGCTGCATGACTTCTATCTGATATTTTGATTTACTGTGATATGCTATTTTCTATTCAATGTATGTATGAATTATGAAATTCGGAATTTGACTAATTTAGAATCAATTGGCATGATAATAGGGTAGACTGCTCTGAGAGAGTACACTTTTGAGTGCAATTTCCCAAGTTCTTTGGAGGATCCAGATGGAAAATGGAGTTTTTCAATTTGTACTGCATATTGTGATACAACAAGAGCAAAGTGCTTCTGCGGAGAAGGAACTAAATATCCAAACCGTCTAGTGGTAGATGCATATGGCTTTCAACAGACGTAAGCTGACTATTCTTAACAAAAAATACATTTCACATACAAGATATCTCATAAAATATTTAATTTGAAAGGATACCACAAGTCTTTGAAGTATGTGGATAGCTTTTTTATATTGTGTACACTGCAGAATATATATGACACCTAGTGGCCCAACTATGACAAGGACAGTTGACCGGGAAAACATTTTTACAACTAATAGTAGCATAGCTGGCTGGTGCAATGTGGATCCAGAAGATGCATATGGGAACAAGGCCAGAGTTAGAGATCAATGTGAGTGCGGGTATGATGGTCTGTGGGGGCGTTTGTGCGAAATCCCTTCGTTGTCCACTTGTGTTAACCAATGGTCTGGACATGGACACTGTCACGGTGGATTCTGTCGAGTAAGTCATAGTACCTTTTGTTCTTCCAAAATGCTGGACATATGATGTGTTTGAATTTGTTTCAAGAGTCTAATGATAGGAAAGTAGCACCTAATTTATTGTCTTGATCAAAATGCATCACCATTATCTATGAAGGTTTAGAACTTTCTCATGCTATTATAATGTCTAAGTGATCGTTGAATTGATTTTTGTGAAAATTTCTTATAGAACCCTAATTCTTCGTATTATTTCATTGTAGACCCTCCTTCCGTTTTTCTTTCAAGCGACATAAGAAAACCCCTAAAGATTTCACTATACCCCCTTATCTCTTATCTCCCTCTTTTATTGGCTTTTGATCGTAAAAATGAGCCTCAACAAATCTTTTTATACCATTTCAACTCAAAAACTTTTTTAATTGGTGGAAAGGAAAAAAGAGGGTTAAAAAAGTTTTTGGGATGAAATGGTATAAAAATATTTATTGGGGTTAATTTTTATGGTCAAAAGTCAATAAAAGATGGAGATAAGAGATGAGGGGGTACGGTGAAATCTTTAAGAATTTCCTTATGCTGCTTGATAGAAAAATGAAAAGAGGGTCTACCATGAAATAATATGAGAAATTAGGGTTCTATACAAAATTTTCCCTTGATATTTCCCATTTGTGTCTGTTTAGCATTATCTATGGTTTTGGGATATTTACCAAGTAAACTGAGTGAAGTTCATCTTGTATGTTTCATTCTTGATGCAAGGTTACCGAGGCTTCATGGTGCCATATTTAGTGCCACAGTAGCTGGTATGGAATAGATTGCAGTATACCATCAATTCAACCATCTACACAAGAATGGCCCAAGGGGCTTCGACCAAACACAGTTATGAAGCAAGTAAATGGTGACTATATGAACTTTACGGCTGTGGTGACAAAGAAAAGGCCACTTATATGCATTTATGATTTGCCTGCAGAGTTTCATAGTCATCTCCTGGAGGTTGGTTCAGTTTCTATCCCCAATTTTCATTCAACATTTTTCATGTTGTTAATCTATTTCATTTGCTATGGTGCAGGGCCGTCATTTCAAATATGAATGTGTTAACAGAAACTATAATTTGAGGAATGAAACGTTATGGTTAACCCTGTTGTATGGTGCTCAGGTATGTAAGGTATTCTAAGGGGAAATTTCCTTCTATGAGAAAACCCCAACCCATTTCGCACAAACACAAAACCATCAACCTCTGAATTTTTTGTTGACAAACCCCTACATGACCTTTTCAAATAATTTTGGATTAAAATATCCCTATATGCTATATTGGATTTTTTTTAAAACAAAAACATAATCAATCACTTTCCTCTCCCGTTTTCTTTTGTCTCTCTTTGCTCTAGCCTCTCTCCCTGTCCATCATTCTTTTGAAAATGGTGAGAAATGTTGTAGAAAGTAAAGGTTGCAGTTTAGAGAGAGACAATGGAGTTGAAGAGTTTTAGATCATGAAGATTCATCCTTCGCAAATGGAAAAATGGGAAATCCTTCTCAGAACTCACCTATAATTTTTTATTACAACTTAGAAGAAGAGGACGACAAAAGTTCTCATTAACATTTTTTTTTTAAAAAAGAGTCCTCACTGTAAGTGCAAAGTCTTTTGATTATGGAAAGAGAGCTCATAAAGCCTCTTTTGGCTTGTCCCACCAGAGGCTTCTCCAGTTCTCATCTCTTAGCGAAAAGTCCTTGAAACTCAAATAGATGTTAGGGTTTGTGGTCTTTAAAGGCTGTGAGAGCATGTAAAAAAAGTATTTATAGTGGATTATGCATTTTAGTGGGAGTGTGTAATATTTAACACTTTGACTGACCTAGTGTTAGGTGGTCTCTGGCCTTGATTATGTCCAAAACCCTTATCCCTAGGCATTCGGTATTAGCAAAAAAGGTTTGCCGAGGGTCATCCTGTATTGAGGTCAGAAAGATATACAGGGATAGTTTGTAGGTCAGGAGAACTGTGTGGTCTCCTATATGTGGATGTAGGTTTGTGAGAGCGAGGGCCAAATCCTTAACAAACTTCTGCATAACATGTACATATAACAACCACATCATTGAGAAGTTAACTATGAAATGAGGTACATGTACATGAACATAGAGAGAGTCCCCCTTACATCATAGTGACATGTGCTTGGCTTTCTCTTAAAGGAGTGAATTGTAATCTACATTCTAGGGTTTTAATTATACTATTTATTGATCGACTTTGACAAGCCAATCATGAGCCCTTGCATGAGACTATGGGTCATTGGTTTTATTAGGTCAGTTTGAGAAGACAATTAAAGATCATGGTCACTGTGTCTGGTGGAGTGCCCTTATAGTCATTTATTTTGATCCATTGGTACCAATTTGCTTCTAGATATTTTATCTTCACTATTAGAAAGATCTATGTGAATTTAGTGTTAACTGTACCAAAAAAAAAGAGAGATCT